CAGCAGGAACGGCGTAAACTGGTTCGCAAAATTCACGGACGACAAGGATCACTGCAGATCCATCCCGTGGTCATTACTTCCTTTGAAATAGCAATGCGAGACAGAAATGCCTTGCAGGTATCTTAAGTTCTGCCGAAAGCCCAAGGATGGGTGGAATGTCTCCTCACTAATAGCAATGCTTTTGAATATAGTAAAGAACCTCACCAAATATGCATGCTGCTTATACAATGAGTATCATACTTTAGCATTTATGTTGGCATTCACTTCTATTTCCTTGGTAGCAGTAGTTCTGAAATTCTATGCTTAAGAAGTTATTTAAGCAGAACACTATCAAAAGAGTGATGTAAGCAGATAGTTACAGCATACCTGTTCTTTTCATTACCTCTCTGTAGGTGATAGTGGGGGAGGGTTGGAGTAAAAGCTATACTTATTAAGTGTCATGGTTAACATGGTAGTTTCAGTGAGATGTGTTTCTTGTAGACATTTTAATGAAATCACAAAAGCTTTCTAAATGCAGTCAACATGAAGCAGATGTATGCCATCAACTCTTTGGCTTCAGCTCTTCTAGTCTGGTGAGAAAAAGCAGTAAATAGAATTTTTGTAACAGGCAGTATCAGACAGTCTTGCTTGTGCTGCTTATCTCATCTGGCACACGTTTTGATGGGCTAAAGCTAAGATGTACTGAAATACCATTTCTTTTTGTAGCAGTGCTTCTGGAAATACCTGATAGTAGATGAAGGTCACAGGATTAAAAATATGAACTGCCGCCTTATCAGAGAATTGAAACAATTTAATGCGGACAATAAACTCCTGTTGACTGGTACTCCCCTACAAAACAACTTGGCAGAGCTTTGGTCATTGCTTAACTTCCTGCTGCCAGATGTGTTTGATGATCTGAAAAGGTAGGTTACAATCCAATGGTGAGAACTTCCCCTTTGTTCTATTTGGGAATTATTGTGACTCTTTAATAATTAAACTTGTGCCAACATGTGAAGAGCTATTTTATGATATGGTTGTTATTCAATATGATTATTTGCTGATAAAGGCTTTGAAACGTGTCTTGCTTTCTTCACACTTAGTTGTTGCAGAAAGCTCAACTCTGAGCTGAGACATGAGCATCTGGGGGGGATATGTTTGTCTAATCATAAATGTCTGGTGCTGCTTGAGATTCTCTGAGGTGCTGGAGAAAGCTGTGTGAGGCAGGCAGACACAGGACCAGAATCACAGAATTATCATGGTTGGAAATGACCTCTAAGGTCAGAGTCCAACAGTCAACCCAGAAAAAAACCACCATGTCCACTAGAGTCTGTTCTGAAGTAAGACCCATGAGAGACAGGCAGTCAGGTGGGAGAACATTGCCAAAATAGTCTTTAGACTAATTTTAGAGAAATATATGAACTAGATTAAATATAATAGATCATAGTGAAAATTCCAACTAATTCAAGAGTTTTTATAAATCACTTAAAATCTCAAGCAACTGAATTGACAGGCGTATTTCAGAATACCTCCTGTTCAATGTCTATTCATGATGGATATTAGTGCTTTGTTTTTCTTAAGTCACAGGATAAGAGAAGAATAGTATACTTCAAAAATGAAAGATAATAGCCATGAAGTAAGCTACTCCTTTTTTCTTGCTTTCTTTTTGTAGCTTTGAATCCTGGTTTGATATTACCAGCATTACAGAGACCGCTGAAGATATTATTGCTAAAGAAAGGGAGCAAAATATTCTGCATATGCTACATCAGGTTTTCACTTACTCTTTATGTTGTTTTTTTCATGGTGTATTTCTAACATTGATCATTATTATGAAGTGTGTCAATATCTTGTTTGTGGAGCTAAATTGTATCTTCTAGACAGGATTGTTGATGATGATTTATTTATTTTGCTAGAAGATTTACGTCTTCAACTGATACATAACAAGCAAAATAAGGTGTTTCATAATAAAATTACTTTTAATTAATGAAAATTATTTTAAAGGCCTTTAATGTAGCTGCTACTGCACCCTTATTAAAGACTTCAAAATAAAAAATTTCAGTGGATGTTTTGTTTGGACACATGTAATACCAGCATGTGCGTGAAAGTTTTGGAGTAGGCATCCATATTAAGAAGTGATATCTGGAACTCTGCAAATTAATTTCCTTTCTTTAAATAGCAAAAATAGCATTATATCAACAGACCTGTATGTATGTATGTTTTTATTTTTTGTAAAACTAGTCATCTTGAGAGCTTTGAGTAATTGTTACACATCTGCTCAACTTTTCAGATTCTGACACCTTTCTTACTGAGAAGGCTGAAATCCGACGTTGCTCTTGAGGTTCCTCCTAAACGAGAAGTTGTGGTGTATGCGCCGCTGGCAAAGAAGCAGGAAACTTTCTACACTGCCATTGTGAATCGCACCATTAGGAAACTGCTTGGAAATAATGAGGTATGTTTGAAATGGGGTTGCTATTTATTGGTGATTTGTAGGCAAAAATGCATTGGTATTGCTTTGGCACCGTTGTAACTAAAACCCACTTTTTGCTTAAATTTAGTCTGATCCTTTCATTATCTGTTTCAATGGCTGTTACTGTGACTGGCCTCAGTGAACACAGAACTAATATAAGTGTATGTTCTTTGTTAACTGTAGCCTGGGGGGCAAAAGAAGACAGTTGTCATAGAGGTGACAATTTCTGCTATAAAATCATTAGGCTACTAATGCAGCTTTTAAAAGTGAAGTGCAAGCTTCAAAATCTACAAATACAAACCTTTACAATTTGGGCTGCATTTTTTCTACATGGCAAAACTTAACAACTGCTGAGTCTTCAGTATTGCACTATGCATATCCACTGAAGCCTCTTCTCAGTATTCCGAATCCTTGGGTCAGCATAGGGCTTTGAATCTGAAACAAGCTGCTGTTGATGTCAACGTTATCATTTCCTGCAGGAAGAAGTAGTTGAGTTGAGTCCTACAGGCCGACCAAAACGTCGTAGTCGAAAAGTGGTTGATTATTGCAAAGAACATAATGGTTCACCTGATGACTTGGAAAAAATGATCAACAAAATGCAAGAGGAAGTAGAAAAAGAGAGGTGCCTACCCCAAAATATTATTTTTTTTTTAATTACACTAACTACCTCCCTCTTCTTCCAGAGCTTTGCTTATTCTAATTGATCAAGGCAAATGGCATTTTGTAGTTCACTCTCCTTGTAGCCTTATGAGCTGTTTCTTTGCTTTTACCTAACATTTGCTAGGCCATGATAGCATGATTAGGTTGTATGATCCCTCACTGGCTCATTAAAGTTACACTTAACTGCAAAACATTTACTTCTTGCTGCAGACCTCCGAGACCTGTCCTTTGCAGGCTCTAGCAATAAAATTGCTTTGAGTCCCTGTTGTTATTAGTCACAGTCTTAAGTAGGTCCTGTGGTGATAGTGCTACAATAATCCATAAAGATCTAAAATGTCCTAGGGTAAAATGTAATTGTGCCATTGAATAATTTTGGTAGTGAAAAACTGGTTTCACCAAAGCCTCAAGTTTAAAATGGTGTTGGGTGTCAGCCAGGGAAGAACCGCTTCTCTTAATTATTTGGTAGTTGAAATTTTGTTGCAATAGCTTCAGTCTTGGCTACAGCTAGCAATGAGGACAGAGAGCTGAAGAGCTTGTTTATTGTTTGGTTTTGTAGGTTTTGCAAGATTCAGGTAAACGTTTTGTCTCTGTGGTCCAGTTACATTCACAGGTGTATCTTTCATTGGCTCAAAGACAGGACAAGGAAGGGATAAGGCTGGTGTGCTCACTACAGTTAACTCCTAAGTTTTTATGAAATTACTTGGGAATACTTGAAGTTTTGACCTAAGACTGGAGAAAAAGAAGGACAAGTTTCCTTGCTAAATTTTGTAAAATATGTAGGCTTAAGCTAAGGCCTGGAAGCCAAATGGCCAGCACAGTTACTGCTGCTTTGGTGTCAGGTCTGGGTCTCATGCTGGTGAGTAAGATCAGAGTTGAAGTTCAGGACTGAGGGAGGTGAAGAATTATCTTAATTCCTGAATTTGGCAAGGTGTGTTTGGAAGTCCCTTATCCATACAGAAAAGAAAGTTAATCTTCAGGGATGAGATACATTTATTTTACTAGATTTTTATTGTAGTCCAGTGTACTGGGCAAGAACAGAAACATATATTTGTGTTAGTTTTTTGGTATGCATGGATCCCTTATGTTAGAGATGGCACTTAGATGTGAAAGGGCCAAACAGCTGTGTTCATTGTGAATCCTGCAATGTGTACACATGGCTTGAATGGAATAGGCAGAGAGCTGGTTTTGGAATAGTTTTATGTATTGTTCCACAGGAGATGTGACTGTTCTAGAAAGGGCTTGCTTCTGTTCCCTTTTCTGTTGGGTGACCTGCAGAAGTTTTTGGGGTTTTTTTTCCAGCTTCTTATTACTACTGACCCTCCTTTTGTATTTTAAACCAGTAATGGCAAATCTTTGTGCCTTCAGGGCCATGTGTGGCACTACAGGAAGTTTTGTCTGGTAATAACTGTTAATTTGAGGGATTTTGAGGATATTTGACACAGCATGAGAATCTATTGCTTGAGTTTGTTTTTATTAGTATTTTCTCTTCAGTATCTGTAGTATAATAAGGTGACACTTTCTGTACTAGTAAGATGATTTATCTTTTCAAGGCCGGTGGTAGAAGTGAGCATTCCTGTGGATTCAGAGGTGAACCTTAAACTGCAAAATGTTATGATGTTACTGAGGAAATGTTGCAATCACCCCTATCTTATTGAATACCCATTGGACCCTGCAACACAAGAATTCAAGGTACATAATTTTAAAAGATTATGAGAAAAAATATTCAAGGCATTAACATGCACTAGACTGTGAGCTGACAGCAGTAAAGAATGACCTTTTCAATGTGTTTGGCATATGCCTCCCTATTGAATTCCAGCAGTGTGACTGAATCATTATTTGAAGCTTCCTGCAGCAGCAGCTGCAGTTACTCTGTGCCCTTTTACTCTTGGCATAGTGATGCTGTAGTGTTCTTCCTGAGGGCAGCACTCCTCTGCTGGGAGCTAGCTTACTGAATGCAAACAGTAGCTATGTTCCATTGACTCAAGGTATTTTAGGTTCTGCCACAAGCTGTCTTCGCAAAATTTGATTTTGAATTAAAAAAAATGCTGACCTTGGTGAACAACTGCTCATGGCTTAAATATTACACACAGCAAGTTCTCAGTGTGAGGTGTTGAAGGCCTGAAGCAAATACACCAGAGTTGTCTGCTCAGAAAATACAGCATCCTTTCTTCCCCTCAAAAAGGAAAAAATCCAAGTTATATCACTAAGGCCAGCTGGTAGTTTAATCTGCACAGAACTGTTGGCAATACAGGAAAATATGAAGTAATTTGAATTGAAATAATCTTGAACAACTAGAAGTTGCTAGCACATTCTAAATGTAGGTTTGTGGGCATGTGTAGTGATGTTTCCTGCTCGCTGAGTGATAACAGATTCAGTTGCACTCAGGAACAAGGTGCTGAAGTTTATCAATGTTAAGTCAGTGCATAAAAAGCAGTGTGGGTGATAAGGGGAAATGAGTTCATGTGTAGAAAATGCAGGTTCTTTGACAGTTGAGCCCACCTGCAGGATCTAGTACCTGTGCAGCAAAATGGATTAGGCATTACTGAGGTAGCTGCCATATGGCTCAGACCTGAGAAGTTGCTAAATCCCTGCTCTTAGCTCTTAGCAAGAATTAGATCTAATGAATTCTTCAGGAAAAGAGGAGTCTAAGGTAGCAGTCTAAAAACCTTGTTGTCCCTTGACTGGTACATGGTAACTTGTTGGCAGCACTTCCATATCTCCAGTAGGTGGAAGCCTTGTCCATTAATTACAAGCTGGGAAAGAAATAACAGTGCTTTCCCATGTGGAAAAACTAAAATAATCAGATCTTCTCTTTCCAGAATTGGGATGAAAGCTAATTAGTTTTTTAAAAAATTATTTGAGCATATTAAATGGTGGGGGTTAATTTAGTTGAATTGTGATTTAACTGATAACGATGTAGTGTGGTAAAATTAACATTGCTTCCAATCTTAAAAAAAGATAGTAAAAGCTTGTTTCTGTGAGAAGCTTTTAGGTAGCTTTTGCTGGTGCTTCTGAGTCAAGTAGACCTTTGGTATCCTTCCCTCCTAATGTATGATCTCATCTCCCTGTTCCAAGATTGATGAAGATCTAGTAAAGAACTCAGGCAAGTTTCTACTCCTGGACCGAATGCTTCCAGAACTGAAAAAAAGAGGACATAAGGTAAAGCTAGTTATTTGTGGGGGTAGTTGTCTCATTGTGACCAAAAAATGGTACTGAGCCATCTTCCTCATTTTGCAGGTCTTGTTGTTCTCACAAATGACTATGATGCTTGACATTTTGATGGATTACTGCTATCTGAGAGACTTCAAATTTAGTCGATTGGATGGTACTATGTCCTACTCAGAGAGAGAAGATAATGTGAGTAGATTTATATGCCCTGTGAGCCTTCAACAGATTCTGCTTGTTCCTGACACTGAGATATGATTTTGCACAGCATTTAGCCTCTTATAGGCAAAAGACATCTGTGTTGAAAACTGGCATCCTTGCTACTGCTTTATTGTCTGCTTCTCAGAAATACTGAAGCAATGAAATGTATCACTAACCAATATCCTGGGGTATGCCTAGAATGATGGTTGCTCATATACTCTGATATCCACATACAAAGTATGTAACATACCTAGATTGTGGCAGATATTAATCTTAGTTTTACCCTTGCACATGTTATTTCCTAGTATCCAGGGTGTCATGCCAGCATATATGGGAGTGTACTGCAAGTCTTAATGCCAAATAAAGTATATTTCCAGGAAATGAATTTCTGTACCTAGTGGAACACCTGTAATTTTAGCCTGAAATTGCATGTGGATTTATTCCAGCACAATTCTTTGTTGTTGCATATTTGTAATGGTTTCAGATAGCCACCTTGCAACTACATTTATTTATCATGAACAAACAGCAGCCATACTGAGTGGTTCTGGAAAAGCTCTGAGGGTGTGCAGGGATGTAAAAGAGCAATGCCAATGTGGAGGGAAGTACACAGGATATATTTAGGGGATGTGGTGCAATTGCCATCTCATCTCCAATGTATGTAGTAGTGTTTATGGGGACATGGAAAAACAGTGGCAGATGACAGATCCTCTAGTGCAAATGGTACTTCTCTGCACCATCTTCTTCTGTGTCATGGCTGGGGAAGACCAAACCTCTAAACACTTAGGATGCAACTGTTAGAGCTGATTCTTAAAGAAGAAAGGCTAACTAGCGACGTGTTAGCAAGATACAGGGACCTCTGCTAAGCTGGTAAAATATACTGCTGGTGTGTGGGGGTTTTTGGGTGGCAATTATGTGCCTACCACAGTGTGGTATGGGTGCAGGATCAGAGAAATCCTCCAGGTCACCAATCGTAAGTTCAGGTATGTGATTTGTGGCTGGTGCTGTGTTAGATCCATCTGCTGGTTTGTTTTTAATAGATTAATTTCTTTTCCAGATGCATAAATTTAATACTGACCCTGAAGTCTTCATGTTCTTAGTGAGTACAAGAGCTGGAGGTTTGGGCATTAACTTAACTGCAGCAGACACAGTTATCATATACGACAGTGACTGGGTATGTTGAATGACTGTTAACCTATTGATATGTGACATAAAATGCTTTCTCTATTGATGCTTTTGATGATCCTTTACAAACCTATTATGTTATAGGTCCCTTCTGTAATTTTATTGAAGTGTTTCATGAAGATAATAATAAATATCTGCACCCTAATTTAAGAACTCCTAGCTTATTGAATACAATGTTAGAGTTGCTTTCCAAAACTTGCCTGTTTGCCCCTGAGTTACACCAAAAGCAGGAGGGGTTTTTCTGTTCCTGTTAAAGATACATTTCTTTCCATTTATTGCTTGTCTGAATGTAGCTGGACCTGCTACAGGTTCCCTGTTTCCAACAGCTGCTCTGTTAGTACCAGCCCCTTGAATTTCTTCCTGTGACTTGGCATGTGTGTTTTAGCTAGCTAGGATTACGCTGCTCCTGTCTGGAGTCTGGGAAGAAGAGATATGGAAGGAAATGACTGAGGACCTCTGCATCTTCAGAGAACTCTCCTCTGTGCATGACTATTCAGCCTCAGGAGAGCTGAATGCAGCTTCAGAAATGTCTGCAAACTTCTAAAATCTCTTCTCATCCCTCAACAGAAAAACCTACAAACCTACAACTGATACCCTCAGCTAAATTTGTGATACAAAGCATGGCTGTCAGTTGAAAACTGTAGCACGTAGTGCAGAAGCAGACCAAGGTAGCTGGGTTACTCTTGCTGTTCAGCTGCAGCAGCAGAGCTTGTCATGGGCAAGTTTAAGAGTAAAGAGATGTAGTGTTCTGTTATACGATGGCTGCCTTGCTTCTGCTCTGACTTGGAGTTCACCTTTGAAAATGCTGCCTGTGGTATGTCTCAAAAAAAGGTTAAAGGTGTGTCTAACTTGTTCTCTGTCTTTGCAGAACCCCCAGTCGGACCTGCAGGCTCAGGACAGGTGTCACAGAATTGGCCAGACAAAGCCAGTGGTTGTTTATCGTCTTGTGACAGCAAATACTATTGACCAGAAGATTGTGGAGAGGGCCGCTGCCAAGAGGAAGTTGGAGAAGCTGATTATCCACAAAAGTTGGTATCTTTCTCATTACTCCCTGTAAGCATGTGTTGCTTTTCCAAATCTCAAGAGAGGACTTACTGCTCTAGTTGGTGACTTTAGGTTTTTTTTCTTAAATGCAAAAAGCTTCATCCTCCCAACAAGTGGCTACATAGTATTACTTCTCCAAATGCATTCCTAGGCACATTGTAAGTAACTTCTGCAGCAAATTAAAGGAAAGCACATCTAGTATTTCTAGAATCACCATGTTAAGACTACTCCTTTACTGGTAGGTAAGGAAAAAAAGAGGGTTGATAGGACAGTGAGCAACCTGGAAGAAATAAAGGTAGAATCAGGCAATAAGAGAGTAGAGCTCTGGGGTTGTTGGCAGCTTGTCAGCCAGATGATGGTTTGTTTGACCCAAATGTTTTTGGACTTTTAGCATTGAAAATACTGGGAATCAATGATAAGTGTGAGTTAATTATCTTTTTAAAAATAAAATTAAATTAACCAGAATATAAGTGGAAAGGCAGCTAAAATTCTTACTGCTTGCAGTTTAATTTGTAAAAATTCTTAATTGGAAGCAATATACCTACATAATGACATCTAAAGTGTTTCAGTGACTTGAAGTGATAGATATTTTTTTTTCCACTTGCACTGGCAAACTTCCTTGAGTGGAGAGCGTTCCTATTAAAATTGGTAACATGAGTAGAAACTATAGAAAGCTGGTTTCTAAACTTGATTGAGATTGCAAATCCCATAAGTGTAAAATCACTGTAAAAAAAAATAAAAATTAGCATCTTGTTTGCATCTGTCCTTCCGAATTTAATAACAGCATGATATAACCACAGAAGAATAGCTCTGTTTGAACAATTAGCCAGTGTTGAAGAGAACAATAGTCCTTTATTTTATGTGCAGAATAATTGTGATTCTTGTTATTGATTGTAGAGCTGGTCATACTCAAAAGTCTTTACAAAGTTATTAGATTGAAGTGTCTCTTGGGGTGTCTCTTAAAGTGTCTTCTTGTTTGGTTCCTACAGGTATCCTGCTTTGCTTCTGTAGCCTATTCTTTTATATTTGGACAGTAGCTCCCCATAGCATTTTACAAACACCAAGCTCACTTGAAAATACAATTATTGTAACTTAGTATGGGCTTCTGACAAGAATTAGCCTTATATTAAACTTCAAAGGAGGTTAGGGACTTCTTGTCGTATATTAAGGTGGGGGAGTAATTTTCATAAGGGCAGAAAGGGGCAGAAAGGCCAGACCATAAGTACCTTCTGCACAGTGCACTGCTTGTCATGCCCAGGCTGTGGTTTGCCTCTGGTTTTGGGTGATGTTAGCTCTTCTTTGTTAGGTGCTTCCTTTATCCTAGCTTCAGCCTTTTTCTTTAATGTGTTTGCCACTGCTGTCTTGGTGCGACTGCCAGGACTTGGGCTTTTTTTACACCAATTGAAGTGAAGAAAAGTGTCAAGTTGGATCATGCCTTCAGTTTTCAATAAGTTGAACTTTTATCTTTGTAACTATTGGTGAATCATAACGAGATCTTGCAGCTTAGATATGGGTGTCCCCTTCAGTCCCTGTAGAGGTGATGTAGTGGATCCTGTTATTTTTAATGTCTAAAAAATGCTGGAACGTTGGAGGAGTGAATGAGGGAGGGGTATAACAAAGCTTACTTGAGTCAGGCCTTCCAGCAGTGGCTGACAATGTAGGGTGTGTACAGAACAAGTGCTGGGGCTTAACAACTGGAATCAGAATGCTTTTTTGGCCTCAGTACCAGTGCAGCACTAATCCCATGCTGTATAATTTGTGAAAATCTGAAAACTAAAAGGGACAGACTACATTAGTAATAATGGGAGAGACTCCTGTAGCTCAAATCCCTCTGGAACTTGCATCTGATTTGCACTCCAGAGGAAAACAGACAGTCTTTGGAGGGAGATGAAGGAAAAGATCTGGGAAGGACTTCTGAAACCCAGATATAGGAAAGAACAGCAGTGAGTGTGATGAAAGACATCCATGAAGGCTCGATAATAAAATGGGTACATATATTCATAAAAATGGAGGAAACTTGGCACAGAAGAGGAAGCCAGGCCTGTCTCCCTTAAAGTGAGCAAGACTGAGCTTGACCTCATCCATGCTCAACTTTGGTTAAGTAATAATCTTGTAAAATTCAATATTTGGGCTGGCATCCAGTAGATAAGCACTAGCATCAATCTCTTTAAAAATCTACCTGTGTCAGGTGGGTGACTTTGTCATGTCTGTCTAGTCCATTAAGGTGAGGGATATCCTCTGCAAATGATGTATCTTATCTCTTCTTATCTTGTGGTTAATACTGCTTACTTTGTTTCAACCAGCTAACAATACAAAGGGAACAAACTTGAGCATCCACCATCTAACTTTAATTACAATGTTTTTGCTGTAAGTAGAACTTGTGGCTTTTCTGCTCTGTGTGTGCGTGTGTGCATGTTGAATTGGTGCTTCAATCAGTTCTTCTGCATACTGCAGCTAGAAGGTGGAAGGCCTGCATGTGAACTCTTCATGTACCTCTGACATTTCTCACCAATTAGGCTGTTAGTGTAAGGCTGTTTGACTGAGGGTGAAAACAGCATTAGTTTTGATAGCAAGAGTAATTTGTTCTATATGTGCATCCAGCATCCATTTAACAATTCATGGAATTTGTTCCTGTCCTCTGTACTTCTTAAAATCTCTTCTTTCTACAGATCAGTTTAAAGGTGGCAAATCTGGTCTAGCACAGTCAAAGAGCTGCCTGGACCCTCAGGAATTAATAGAATTGCTGAAATCTAGAGACTATGAGAGGTATGTAGATTTCCTATTGTTCTTGGACCTTGAGTTTGTAACTTGCAGCTTGCAAGCAGTTGCCAGTAAGCTCTCTTTGTCTTATGAGGTGCTATGTGGATCTTCATAGTGGAAAGAATGTACTAGGGATTCTGCTGTGTGGGAAAACTGACTTATATGTAACATTAACTGTAGCATGCTTTTACCTGTATTAAGAGAGATTTTCTTCCTCAACAGGGAGGTTAAAGGATCTAAAGAAAAAGTAATCAGTGATAAAGATCTAGAGTTACTCTTGGATAGAAGTGATCTTATTGGTAAGTCAGGGTTTTAATCTGTATTTATTCTGTTCAAAGGTAAATTCGTATTTTGTAAGAGTCTTTGTATGGAGAAAGTTGCCTTGGTTTCACCTGCCTACAGCTGTGTTGCACACATGGAGGACAACACTGGCCCCTTTGCTGACATTCTGAATAGGATTTGCTGGAAAGAAAATAATAGAACTTAAACAAGTGTTCCAGAAAACCATATTTATTAATAGTGTGCCCTGAGTGTACTGTGAATGAGAAGCATAGATTAGGAGGTATTCTGCAAAGCAGCTTTCCCTGCAAGTTGCTGTAATTAGTAAAAAAATTACTATTGATCAATTCTCAGAAAATACTTCCTTCAGCAAACTTGTTAAAAAACCTATTTTGAAACTATAATTATTCAAAATATAGTCATAACATTTTTGTTAGAGAAAACGTGAGCTTTTCAGAATTACTGTGGCTTGTCAGTAGATCAAACACTTTTTTTGAGGTTGTCTGCAAATTCGAGTTCTTGACCAAGTATTTTTTATTTAAAAATGTAACTTTTTTGAGAGGAAAAAATTCTTGTCCAGTTCATCTAAACTGTAGATTTTTAGTGTGTTTTGTTTTGCTTCAGCATCTTGGAAAGATAAGCCTCCAAGTATAGATACAGAAAAATCAGTCATTATAAAATTAGACATGAAGATGATAGCTAGTCTTCAGTAAGAGATATGTACAGCTTGAGTACAATTTTAAAAAATAACAGAATTACTTTAATCTTATTCTATACTTATTTTTTTCCTCATGATTATCTATTTTTTTTAATAAACTGCTTGTTTCAATTAACTGACTACTAATACTGAAAATTATTCATTATGTACTGGTAATACAGTCCATATCTTCACAAGTCCTGGCTGCGAAACAATCAGGTTGAAGAAAGTGCCATTTATTTTGTGTTATTAGTGTGTGTTATATTTTTAATGGTTGCTTAGTCTAATTTTGCTTAGCATAGCGAAAAAAAAGTGTATTAAAACTTTCAAAAAAAGATTTTACACAGATACTAGTCTAGCATTGTGTGCTGAATATTTACTAGAACTGCTGGTTAGAAACTGAAATGCCACCTCCCAGTCCTGTAAGACATAATTATTACATTTTATATAAGGACAGTGCTTTTTCACTAGCTTTATATTCACTGGAAGGGCAACATCGTGATTGCCAGTGCTAAGAAAACAAGAAGTAGATATTTGAACTCTAGAAAAGAATATTGCTTGGCAGAGCTGTAACTTTGTGGTTTTCCTTGTAACTTCACAGGTTTGTCACATTTTGGCTTTTTCTGAAGAAAATTAGACTAGTTCAGGCAGATTCTAAAACTGCTTGAATCCTTTCAGATTTAACCTGAGGTTTTGGAATTGTTTTTTCTTATTTTTCAGCTGTGTATTTTTAACTATTTTGAGGACAAACCTTTAGTAGCAGACTGTTGATGAGGAAGCAAAATTATTCTATCAGCTTGCTTTCAAACTCCAAACAAAAATACATGCAACTTCTATGTCTGCAGTAGCGAGGTTGTATACACTTCACCTCTTATTATTGATTTTTGGTGGTTTTGTTTGTGTTTTTTTAAATTCTAGCTCAAATGAAGACCTCTGAAAAAATGAAAAAGGAGAAAATTGGTGTCTTCAGGATCCTAGAAGATTCATCAGACCCCAGTGCAGAATGTGTGTTTTAATGTATAAATGTGGCTTGTAGTCTTACAGGACAAAAATAGGACATCACGTTTTCCAGAGATGTCAGTTATATTCATCCTTTATACTGTCTTTCTTTAAGGCCTTGTTCAAATCCCTCGTGTTCTTTCAGTGAATTTTAACATGGTGATAGTTTCATGTTCTAGCTTTGGTCGGCTCTCAGAATGAAATAAGAAAAAGCATATTTCAAATTTGCTGTTAACTCTTGTGATCAGTAGTAAAAACTGGCAATTTTTTGGTAAAAATCTTCCTGTGGAAGTCTTACAAAGAATTATGGTTTTATTTGGAAGGGAGAGAACATGTGCCTTTGTTACAGCCCATTGTGTAGCTTCTGTTTTTAATTTCTGCAAATTATTTTGGTTAAATAAATGTCTTGTTTGTTCTAAGGGTGCAGGGCTGTTTGCATAGCTTCCTAAATAGCAAAGCTTATGTTGTGTCCATTAATTCACATTGAAATCAAAACCCAAACAAATCCACTCAGAACAAAAAAAATGGCAGCTTGTGAGTGAGTCTTGGACAGCTAAGGTGCTGGTTTGAAGCACATAGAGGGAGCTAAGGGTACTGGAACAGGAAGATGCAGAATGTCTCTGAGGATGTGTTGAAGACCAAGGAGTTCTTTCTGGGAAGGGAGGGTTTGAGACTACAGGGGGGCAGAAAAGGTGGGAAAGGAGGATATACTTGGATCTGTAACCTTGAAGGGCCAGCTGTAAGCAGTGATTTTCAACTTGGGTGACAGGTAGCTTTTAAACTGTCAATTCTGCTTTGTGAGAATGTCATCTAGGTGTAATTAGAAGCTGCAGTCATGGAATTGCAGTTGGAGCTGTCACAGTTGCAGTTGTGTTAGCTAGGCCAAGGCATAGGTAACATGGAATAAAATAAAATCCTATCTAATCTGTCAGATTTCATAAACTAGTTTCCAGTCACTTCATCTGTTGGCCTGATTTAGAAAAAAATATATTCGTAAGAGGCATTTATCCTTACCTAAGGGAACAAATAAATCTGTTAAGTTAATAAGTAGGCAGACTTTGACCTTTGCCTGTGGAAAGCCCTGTTTTGTTTCTAATTGCTGAAAACAAAAGTTTCTAAGTTTTCTGTTCAGTTACTTATTAGGCTGAATAATGCAAAGTCTAACGTGCTGTCTCCACTCGGGAGAGGCTGTTGATGGTTTTTCCAGGTGATTACAAGAAATGTGTGGTAAACTCAGCTCATGTATTAGAATCTAGTTAATGGCATTTCATCAGCACTCAAATGTATGCATATACAATCGGTCAATAATCATTACTTACCTGACTAGTAAAGATGATGTTTGAGCCACCAAGATCACACCTTGACAATAAGCTGGGCTCGGAGGTTTGCCATTAGCAAATGAAACTTCAATCTGCAAACTGAAGCAACTGGCCAGGCTGCTCAGTGCTGTTTTGCTGGGGGGGAAGGCGGTGATTATGGTGTGAGGAGGAGATAATGAGAGGACTGTCTTGGTTATGCTGTTTTGGTTTATTTTTTTAAACAATTTTTCTGTCTACTTTTAATCTCCCAGAGGCCAGCTCTGTTGGGTCACTGCCAGGAGAAGAATCTTTTTAACTGTGTGAACAGTTTTTAAAAACAGTGATTCATGTCCTGAGCTTGGAAGGGAGATGTGCTGCTCTTTTCCATGCTAAGCCCTCTTGTCCAGGCTGATGTGTCCCATGGCTCATGCTATGCTTACTGCTTTCCTCACCATGGCTGAACTTAGCGTCCTGGGCTGTGTGAAGGAGAGTCCTGCAAGCCAAGAGGCAGCAAGAGCACACAAGTCCCCATCTGCTGTACAAGGAGAAATGGGAGCTGTGGCAGGGAGAGGCCACAACCAGAAACCCAGGTAATGTCTGTTAAAAATGACAGCCTGCTTTGTGCTGCACTGCACACCTAGGTGACACAGTCACCTTGGGCAGGATGCTAGCTCACAAACTGCCTGACACTCTTAAGGTAGGAATCTTGTACATATTTCTTAAATTATTGTTAACTTCTGGAGCAGGTGACTCAGTGTGGTTGCAAGCATGACCACTTTACCTATTCTGCTATTGTTGGCAAACTCCAGGTGCCAACTGTTAAATTGGAGAGGAGTTTGGAAAGTTTGACTACAGTGAACACTGTAGTTGCCAAATATTTTGTCCTGCATCATAAAAAACAGAAGCCCTTTTTTCACTGAGCTACAGTGATTAGAGTCCTCCTGAGTCATAAATGTGAATTGCCTTGGCTACCCTGTTCCCATAGCAATAAATGTGATCATCAATTTTATCTGCATTAGAAACCTGTAGCTCCAGAGTTACTCCACAAACCTTTTGTAGTTCCCGACTGGTGCATCAAGCCCTGCACAATCAGTGTTTTCCCAGCAGTGCTGCCAGACTTTGCTGCAGGAGCAGGGCTGGGGCAATAGAGCATGTGGCCCTGGACAAAGTGGGGCTTGTCCTCTGTGCAGTGCTGGGCTGGGGAGGGCAGTGGAGAAATACCAAGCAAGGCTCAGGCACTTGTCCTGACCCCCTGACGCAAGAGTGTGAGGTTATCTGGGATGAACACTGTTTTGCTGATGGATGCTTGTACAATATGAAAGCATTTAGTGACTGCATGCTCTGGAGGGCTCGGCCTGCCTGCTGGCATTGGGGTGCAGGACATCAGATGGCCCTGGTGGCCAACATTTTCCTGCTGCAAGGCAAGCATGCAGCCAGACTGCCCAGAAAGTGCTAGGAGAGTGCATTGTTGGGAGCAGCCACTGTGGTGTGGCAGGGCCTGAGCATTGACATGAGCAGTCAGGATTTTCCCAGAGATTAGCTGGACAAGGAGTTTCCTGGTTAAGCAGTGCTTATTTCCCACTGCCCATAGAAGGAGTCTGGGCATTAGTTAAATTTAGCTGGACTTGTCCATTAGTTCCCTTCCCAGCCTGCCAAAAAACTGTAAAATTGGTCTGGATAGTGGGAGGCTTATAATGTTGGTGACAGGTCAGCTTTACCTCAGATGAGGACTGTGTTTTGGATTGTGCTTTCAGTTTGGTTTTGTGGTTTGTTGATTTTTTTTTTTTTTTTTTTTTGGAAGGCAGCTGTGCTGTGGTGTGATTTGTTGTGAAGGTGAGGAAAGAGGGCGCAGCAGTTAAAGCATTGCTGGAGATGGGAGGGCTTGCCAGGACCGCAGGACCTTGTCCATAGCTGATGCAGAGGCACTTGCGAGCAGTCAGGATTTTCCCAGAGATTAGCTGGACAAGGAGTTTCCTGGTTAAGCAGTGCTTATTTCCCACTGCCCATAGAAGGAGTCTGGGCATTAGTTAAATTTAGCTGGACTTGTCCATTAGTTCCCTTCCCAGCCTGCCAAAAAACTGTAAAATTGGTCTGGATAGTGGGAGGCTTATAATGTTGGTGACAGGTCAGCTTTACCTCAGATGAGGACTGTGTTTTGGATTGTGCTTTCAGTTTGGTTTTGTGGTTTGTTGATTTTTATTTATTTTTTTTTTTGGAAGGCAGCTGTGCTGTGGTGTGATTTGTTGTGAAGGTGAGGAAAGAGGGCGCAGCAGTTAAAGCATTGCTGGAGATGGGAGGGCTTGCCAGGACCGCAGGACCTTGTCCATAGCTGATGCAGAGGCACTTGCTAACCCCAGGGGTGGGGGCAGCCCTGTGCCTACCAGAGAGGGCCTGTATGTGTTTACAAACCCTCCTGTTTTCAACTTCTGGCAATGTCTTTTAAAGCAAAGATGACACTATTTCTTAGAAACTGTTTATTTTTACAGCAAAAGAACAGCCAGTAGCTCATTCAGAGGTGTGAGTGGAGAAATAATGTCATTGCAGATGATCCCATCAGGCCCTCACCCAGGGCACATGGGGCATGTGCCCACTCCCCACACCAACCCCAAAGACAGCCATGCATCATCAAGCAATGCTGGAGGCAGCTCTCAGCCACCTTGCACTAGGGACAGGCAGCCATTGCCAGCTGTGATCAGTGGCCTGGCTGTGGCCACCTGGCCCTTACTGGGTGCCAGCAGGCAGCTGCTAACAGCAGCTGGGCAGCATGAGAGGTAAGTGAGGCTGAAATTTGTAATTCTCTCACATTGCTGTCCAGGGCAAAGGGATACCAGGAGAAAGCAGACAGCTGCCTTGTGAATTCACCCCATTTATTGAATGCAAACAGAAGGCAAATACCTGTGATACAGATGAGTTATAATCTGATTTGGCTGCTAATTTTCCTGCGTGATTGACAGCACAAAGGAGGGGGAAAAATGAAGAAAAATCTGTATATTTAAAAAACCCACCCAAACAGTGAAAAAGGAGACAGGAAAAATGTTGAACAATTAGTGACATGTGAACAGATGGAGGACTAATAATGGCTGGGAAATTCAAAGCCATGCCTAGCAGTCCTTATTGCAAACAAGATTTGGCAGGGGGTAGACAGGGGTGATGCTTTCCAAGGAAAAGCAGCAGAGAAGGAACCATCCATACTGGGTTTGTGAGCAGCCTGGCTTACTTTGGGAAGACAGTGACCACCTCGTAACCCTCTGGAGGAATCACCCGCTCCCGTGCGTGCTTCTCGCAGTAGATTTGGTCTTCCACGAAGAAGTGTCCTTTCTGCTTGAGGTTGGTGCCACAGTCGCTGCACACGTAGCACTCGGGGTGACGCTGCTTGTCCCGGATCTTCACAAACACCCCTCTGGGGAAGGAACCACCACTCCTCAGTGCCAGGCACCTGCTACTGCCTCCCTCCTCCCCAGCCACCTCCCACCCAACCCCTCACCAGCGCTGAAGGTGGATGATTTTCATCCTGCTTCTGCAAGTGAAAGTATAGACTCTAACTCTGGTCAGACAGATATGAACAGTACTGACCTGCCTGAGTTTCACAGGGACAGTCCTTTTACCAGTGGTGACAAGACTGCTGTAATGGCATCTGCAGCTGATGGCCAGCGACAGTGCAACAGCTTTCAAATGCCCAAGATCAAATGGTGGTCATCGACTTGACCATCTTTGGGGAGGGGAGCAAATTCCAGGTCCAGACTATCCAAATTGCAGAACAAATCCAGAAATGACTGCCCACCACCAAAGGGGGGATGAAGGCTGCACAACCATCCACTACCCTTTTTCTACCAACTGACAAAACACGTATGTGTGGGAGAAGCACAGAGACTACAGAACACTGCTGCACTAAAGGGATCCAACCAAACGTGGGCCAGCTCTTACTGGAAAACTTTACAGCTTAACCCAGTAGATGATGAGGAAAGCTACATAGCAACTTCTTAACTACCACCAGCAGCAACACAGTGCTTTGCCAGGAGTAGCATTTTGTTCCAGCAGCCACCTATACTTTCCATAATTTTCTTAGTTTTCAGTTTTATTTATAGCTTTGTGCTTTCTCTGCAGATCTACTCAGCTGGTAGAATACTTGCAGGGTTTGTCTCTGAGTCATATTTTACAGGGTAGGGTTTGCCTCAATGACTGCTGCTCCTTGGTGCTCCAAGATGCCAGGACCATGCAGTTACCTGATAGCTTATGGTGGGCAGCATGGGACCAATTGGAATTCTTGCATGCTGATGTAGGTGGACTACCAGCACTTGAGTGCTGAAATAAACTGGTAAGCTAAGGTGGTTGTAGAGAAGAATTTGTGACTAAGAAACTGAACAGAGTTGGGTCTCTCATGGTGCCACATTTATGGTACAGCAGCTATGCATTGAACTCACACCCCTTCTGTGCCACAAGTCAGACATACCCGCAGCAAGACAACAAAAATTTGTCTGCATAGACAGAGCAGAGATGTGTGGGCCTACAGCAAAGCTGGGATCAGAAAGCAGCTCTCCTGCTCCACATTGCCTGTTACCACCAAGGCAAGTCCCCACCCTTCATATGGAAATGTGAAGATAGGAAAAGCATTCAAAATACAGACCCTGAGTGGAAAGGTTATTTTGTTTCTGGGTGCTGTAAACAGATCTCAGGTAGGAAGCAAAAAAAAACAACCCACAACCTGCAACAACTGTTAAGGCTTGTGTCTCATAAGGACTTCATCTCCATTGATACAGCTCTAGAGAGAAACCCAACGCCTGCTTCACTGTGGGGAACTGCAAGGTTAGTGCTGTCAAAACTGGTGAGAATAAATGTGCCTTGAGCCATCTCGTGGATGCCCTGCATGTGGATAGGTGAAGTGTTCTGGGTGCAGTGCCTCAGCCCCACACAGGCATGGGCTGCTTGGCCCATGATGTGCAACCCCAGGGACAGCCTTACTTACACAATGCCAGATCCACACTTCTCGCACATGGGCAGCTTCTGGGCATTCCCAATCGATGAGGCCACCTTTGTTGTAGGGGCTTTGACACTCCTAAATCCAGATGGTTTGGTAGAGTCTCCTGGGAGCAGAAGGAGAGTGCTTCAGAGCATGTGAGATGCGTGACTCTAGGCTCTTCCTCCCAAGCAGATGCTCTGCTAGGGAGGGATGATGTTCTTTAATCCCAGCTCATGAGGCAGAGATTCATGCATGGGAGGGGTGGGGGGAAGCGAGGGGAGGGATTTTGGGGTATGTGAAGGAGGGAGAGAAGGGACACAGCTGAACCTGGCCCTAGGCTGGAAATCTGAGTGCCTGAGACCGGGCAGTCAGATGAGCTACTGTCCCTTCTCACCTTAAAAGCCCATCACACTTCAGCTGATGTGTCACATGCACAGGTAAGCAAAGCAAAGCCTCAGTCCTGGTCCCAGCCTTGGCAGCACTGGTCTACCTGCTATGTCCTAATCACACAGTCAGGGTGAAGCCAATGGCCAGACCAGATTGAGGAGGTGAGTGTCCTGGTAGACTAGGAAAGACCATCAAAGGCCTCTTCCAGTCTACTGGCTGGTGTAAATTGAGGCAGGCTGCCCCAAGACTCCTGGAAAAGTTGGTTAACAAACTTCTTGTATAGCAAGGCCCCAGGACACTGGGGATGCCTTTGTACTCTCCTGCTGTGTAGCATGCTTCAGGGATGGTATTTCCCTACTGCAACCTTTTTTTCGGACAGGGGTGTCTTGCAGGTCCTTCACAGGAGATATCTGCTGACCTGGAGGCCTACAATGGCAGCAGATGCTGATACAGGATACAAGGCAAGCCTCTTAATATCTGCAGTGAAAAAGAAGCCTCTTGCAAAATTACACCATTGCTATGACTAGTCTTATCTATAGGACTTTTGCAAGAGGCTCAACACCAGGCAACAAGGGAGAGCTGCAGCCTCCCACCATGTTTCACCAGAAACAGAAGGGGCTGATGGGCCACCTCGATCTGGGAGGGATGCTGATAAAACCCTTCTGACTACTGTCAAGCCAAAACCACACTGCACTAGTTTTTCTGTTGTAAGGCAAAGACAAACTGGTGAGCTGCAAGGTCAACACACATTGCAGTCCAGGGCAACACCACTGACAGAAAAGATGAGGGGAAAAGCTAGGGAACTGCCCACTGCATGTCTCCGTCACCCAGCTGAGCACAAAGAGCAGCCCAAGTGCCACTGGTCATCTGTGGGGGCAGATGATGCACTGCTTTGCCTCCAGGGCATCCTTAAGCTTAGAGGTTTGCATCCAGCTCTGTGTAGAGATGTGGGTCCAGAAATGCAAAGTCCCTAATTAAGTCTACAGCCCATGCACCCTCCGAAGACAACAGGAAGTACCTGGCCTCCCAACAGCTATTGCAAGTGACCCTTGCTGGGAAGGAAGCTGCAGCAATCACATTTTTCAGGCTCTTCTTTATCACCTCTGCTCATTCCCTTTGCATCAAGCAGCATTTTGCTCACATCAACAACATAGCACATTTTTAAATCTCTCTAAAGGAATCAGCTTAACCAACGTAACCTGTTCTGCCCTGCAAAACACCCTGCACCCAAGAGCACAGGGTCAGGTCTGGGCCCAGACCCACCACGTTGCTTCCACACACCAGCACCTGCACACAGACCCCATGTCCAGGGCCAGGCTCTCACCTGGTGACAATCAGCAGAGCTGAGACAGCCAGCCATGCCCCCAAGGGACTTGTCCCAGCTGAGGAGATCGGTCCCTGCTGCTACTCACAAGCCATCGCCTCAAGTCAGGCTTGGAGAAGCAGCCAACAAACGCCCTGACTCGGCGAGCCCGGCCGCAGCAGCCTGGGGCGCTGTCTCCTCAGGAACAGACATTCCTTTGGGAGTGTGTAACCTCCCGGCCCTGCTCTGCACGGGTGATTATCAGCTCACAGTGGAGTAATGCCAAAGCCTATTCTAGCCTGTGATCAGGCAGGCAAACCTTGTGCCAGAGAATCCCCATAATGCTGCAAATCTTCAAAGAAAGATAAAATGGGCTTTTGCTTCTTATCTTCTTCAGCTCTACTAAGCACAGGGGAGGACCTTGGATGCGTGAGAAGTCCCGGCTACTCCAGTCCCTTCCATGCAGGAGCTGAACCCTGAAGGGCAAGTTGCAAACACTCAATATTTAAAAGATGCTTCCAGGCTGGTATTTTAACAGCATATTAAAGATTCCAAGATCCCGTTTTCTTTCTTCCTATTGTTTCCTTATTTCCTTCATTTTGCTCTTTCCTTACAAATCCCTCAGACATACCAGCACTTGGCCAATCTGTTTCCCTTTGTGGCAAATATCTCAGCACCAGGCGTTTGTTGGATGAAACTGAACATTCCACTGCCAAGCTAGTAACACATAATACAAAATTTCAACTGGCCTAAGGAAAAAAAAGAAGTCATTCTTCAAATTCTTTTCCTACGTATTTGTTTATTTTATTTTATTCAAAGGGAGAAGAGAGTATGGTTTGGCGCCCATCTAAGTTAATCAGCTTTTTATCTTAAAGCCTATAGCCCTGAACTGCACAAGTCCAGATGTCAGACCAAAAACGTCAAGTAGAGCAAAGTTTCAGAGATTAAAAGCTATGACCTGCTCACTGTAACCCAGCTTCTATATTTTTACATTCAGCTGCAGAAATGGATCCTTTTTCTTGTGTAGTGGGATGGAGATTAGAAGCTTTAGGACTCACTGAAGAGCCCCATTTTGTGGCACTATTCAAAGCCTTGAATCTAAGATGGTCTTTAATCAGTGAATATTATCTTAAAAGGCAAAACTTTAGAAACCAAAGAAGTTTTTGCAGCTTCTAAAATTCCTTCTTGATAACTAAATGTTGTAGGGTGTTATTTCTTTAGGACTCCATAAGTAAGCAATGATAAGGGCTTCTAGACACTGAAACTAATCAAGGAGAGGAAATTTAAGAGTAAAGTTAGTGAAATAGTCTATTCCTGTGGAAACCATCTACACACAAAAACACCAGCAAAGGAAGGGAAACAAAGTTCTAGATGTTTCTCTTACACATCATCCAAGGAATGGCAAAAGGGAAGAGCACAGTCAGATTAGGTGTGCAGTGAGTCCTTACCTTTCTCTTCTGACTCCAAAATCTCTTGCAACACAAGGAAGGAAGCAGATTGTCTGGGTGGCTCATTTGACTCTTGATTCTCCTGGAGCATCTTGTAAACCTCAGATTCTCTGTCTATTGCGATGCTGCCTGGGGGCTGGTTATGCTGATCTAAACTGAGGAAGGAACAGAGAATACACCTGTTAGACAGCTGAAAACTAGAGCCCGTCCTGTTAGCAAAATTTTCACAATGCATCATATAACTGAAGAATGAACGTGCAAAACAAACCAACAAGAGGATGCCGTAGAACACAGATGTGCTGGATGCGCTTGCACAAGACAGATACAGCCCGGGTGCGATTGGCACGCTGGGCTATCCCCGTACACCACGGTCACCAGGTTCTCTCTGACTGCCCTGGCCAGTTCCCCAGTGTTGTCCCTGCTTTAACATTAACACGTACTCCAGAAACTAGAACTTTTTGACCAATTACTGCTCTGTTAATAGGAAAACAAAGTACTCATGTGCTGGGATGAGAACCCCACATGGTAGCTGTGCCATCTATTCATATTCCTTGCATGCATAAAACTGCCTTTGACTGCTGCCTTACACTGCTGTGAAACTCAAATTAAGTAAAGTTTATTCCATTAAAAAGAAATCTTTGCAAGTACACTATGAATTGCTTCTAAAGACAACTTTGATAAAGTAGGATCTAACTAAAAGATCCTCTGATTGTCAATAATTTAATTTGGTTTTCAAGTGAGTGTTATTTTTCCTATTTTACAGGTGGTGACTCTGAGCCACAGCCCATTTACAGCTTTTAAGTAAGGTTAATGAGCAGGTCAAGAGCAGAGGGGATGTCTGCCTGCTGACAATAAGCCTTCCTTTCAGGAGCATCTCTGAGATGCTGCTGCTGCCACTCACATCACAAGGGACTTGCACCCTGAGGGGTGGGGGCCTAGAGCCCCAGGTGCTTGAGGGGCAGTTTTCACAGTGCAAGGTGGCTGAAAAAGTGGTGATTGTGCCACTGGAAGGGGCTTTAGAGAAAAAAGGGGGAAAAAAAAAAAAAAAAGGCTGGTGGTATTACCTAGAATGTTCTCCACATCCAGTGGGTAGAGGCTAAACTACAGGCTTAAAACTGGAAGAGAATATTCAGACTATTCCCTGCAAAAAGTTTTCCAATGGACAGACATCGAAGTACCAGAGGAGATTGCTGTGAATGAGCAACCTGATCTAGTTGAAGATGTCCCTGTTCACTGAGGGGGGGTTGGACTATATGGCCTTTAAAGGTCCCTCCCAAACCAAACCATTAAATGAGTCTACAATTCTGTAATTCAAAAAAGAATCTGGAAAAATTCACTGGGGATTATTTAAATCAATGGTTTAAACTGAACAAATGCTGGGCTAGCGGATGGACTAAAGGACACAGGAGGTTCCTGCATGCCTTTTATCCTGTGGCTGGAATAAAACATCTCTGGAAAATGAGACAAGTCTCTGACAGCTCAATTACATATTGCAGCCTTATAAATGTGTATAGTCTATTAGGTTTCACCATCCCTGCACCCTGTGATTGCCTGAAAAGTACACAAGCATCTGGAAGTTCAGGCTAAATTGCAGAAGGAAATCCTTGAGGAGACAACTGCCCACTTTCTGTACCAATGTGCAATTGGGAGTTACTCTATAAACTCTTCAGGCACAAGAGTTAAAATCATAGCACGTGTTATAAAATGTTGCTTCCATAAAAAGAATTCCATAAGATGTTTCCATCTTTATTACTTTCCAGTGGAGCAAGAAGCTCATTAGACCTGCAAGCAGCTGAACCCTTGAAGCCTAAATCTCATTTACTGAAGTCTCTAAAATAAATTAATGATATGCCTTTTATTGCACAGAAAACATCCTAGGTTATCCCAAATGAATCCATGTTCCACATTATATTAATCGCATGGACAGTCATATACTCCTATCACTCTCCACCCACAAAAACATTAGGCAAGAAGCCTGTCATTGCAGCTTGCATACTAAGGATGTTTCACTAACATGCAGTCAAAAAGCAAAGGCTAAATCATCTTAAAGAGCACTAGAGTCAAACAAAGCCATCACATTTCAATCATGCATTGTGACAGTGTGCAAAACATTCAGATCAACTCTCCCAGGTATGCACTCTAGATATACTTGCATATACAAGACTTCTGAAAGACTGTAAAAAAACCAAACACCTCAAGTTCTAGAATTGTTTCCAGCCAAGTGAATTACCTCAACTTGTCAGGGCAGAAGGCACTGCTGCTTAAAGAAAATACCAAAACCCAAGCCCCCCCCAAAAAAAAAACCCTCACCAAAAAGCACAAGTAGCTATTGAATGGGCAAGGCCACAGGCACAGGAATTGTGCCTGCAGGAAAATGAGTCGCTCTGCATAGCGGCTGATTTATGCAGCCTCCTGTTAAGTAGATGCTTTATCTGCAGCAATCATGAGCAACTGGTGTCCTTTTCCATGCACAGGATCTCCCCACTGCAGAAACTGTAGGGGCCAACTCAAACAACCTTTAATGGATTTGAGACTCACAAAACCATTTCTGGATTTCATCGCTGCTACCATGGACAACTTGCAACACTGAATGACACTGGCTCATTGAGGTTTGAAAATTCGCAAGAAGATGGTAGTAAAAACCATAAAGACAGCCTTGCACAGCCTCTTCTGTCTTCAGAAAAGCACAACTTATTCTTTACTAACATCATTGTACTATTTTTTGCTAGCACGTTTTGTAAAGTTCACAAGGCGCTCAAGGCTGGGCTACAACCCAGTAGACCCCGTACTTGGGGCACTTGCTTTTGCAATGAAACAATTGCTGTTGCCTCGGGCTTCTCTGCGAGCATTATCAGCCATCTGGACCAGCTCAGCCTGTCAGTAGAGTGTGACCACTTCTGGCACCCACAGTATCGACTGCGAGCCAGAGCAGTGACTTACAGCAAGTAACTGGACTAAGTAACGAGGCAGGAGTAAACCCATAGCCTCCCATTATCTCTTAGCTGCTGGCACACAGCAGAGCTTGGCTGTGTGGTCCATGAATGAAGACGCCAACTTTTCTGCTTTGAAGCACATGATGCACAGCCCAGGAGGAGACTATGAGCAGTGGAAAAGCTAGAAGATCTGGCTGTGCTCTTCTCCTCTGTCCCATGGAGGCCATGAGACTGACCGTCTCCCTGAACTGCAGGTCACAGATGCAAGCTGCTTGGTCACACACTTTACTGAGGGTTCACATCTTCTGAAACACTTCAGCCTCGATTAGAACCCTCCTGCTTTCTGCTTCACCCTTCTCAATACTGAAGTCCTCTCTGTAAAACCCTGCACTGCTTGGCTCCCAACTGCCACAAAGCAAGCTCCAAAGAGCACCCAGGCCCTGTGATGCCAAGGCTCTCCACAGATCCTGCAGACCTCAAAGGATGTCAAGCATTCTCCACTCCCACAGGCAAAGATGCTGCCCCAAGAACAGCAACCTGTGCAGACAACTGGGTAGGGATGGAAACACAGACTGGGTCCTTCATGTGCCTGCCCAGGATGCTCCAAAATCATGATTGTTATCAGCTAAAGACAGAAACCCATGGGGACCTGCTTTGGCCTGAAATGAAACCTGCCCAGCACACGCCCATGGCCCAGCCCACAGCCAGTGAAACAAAAGGACAAGAACACGCATGGCAGCACCTTCCAGTCACAAACCACAACAGTTGTTTCAGTGCAGGAGAAATACCAGCTTTTAGGATAAAGCTCTCCACAGCAGCCACCAAAATCCATCTGCTGCAGATGCCTCCTCAAGGAACACCACCAGCTGCTGTCAAGGCTCTGCTGTGCACATGGGCCAGGGTGATGGACACACCAACAGGCTGAAATGATGCTTTGGTGCTTCCCGTGGCACTGGACACACACACAGTGCAGAGAAAGCTCCCGTGAAGTCATGCACCAATGTTGGTAAGGTGAAATGTAAATGCTGTTTCCTTGTGACCAGTGCTGTGAGCCAGAGTCAGGGAGGAGGCACCCGTGGACGCCAAGATGTGGATGCACAGATGTGCCGCACAGCCCAGGAGGAGACTATGAGCAGTGGAAAAGCTAGAAGATCTGGCTGTGCTCTTCTCCTCTGTCCCATGGAGGCCATGAGACTGACCGTCTCCCTGAACTGCAGGTCACAGATGCAAGCTGCTTGGTCACACACTTTACTGAGGGTTCACATCTTCTGAAACACTTCAGCCTCGATTAGAACCCTCCTGCTTTCTGCTTCACCCTTCTCAATACTGAAGTCCTCTCTGTAAAACCCTGAACTGCTTGGCTCCCAACTGCCACAAAGCAAGCTCCAAAGAGCACCCAGGCCCTGTGATGCCAAGGCTCTCCACAGATCCTGCAGACCTCAAAGGATGTCAAGCATTCTCCACTCCCACAGGCAAAGATGCTGCCCCAAGAACAGCAACCTGTGCAGACAACTGGGTAGGGATGGAAACACAGACTGGGTCCTTCATGTGCCTGCCCAGGATGCTCCAAAATCATGATTGTTATCAGCTAAAGACAGAAACCCATGGGGACCTGCTTTGGCCTGAAATGAAACCTGCCCAGCACACGCCCATGGCCCAGCCCACAGCCAGTGAAACAAAAGGACAAGAACACGCATGGCAGCACCTTCCAGTCACAAACCACAACAGTTGTTTCAGTGCAGGAGAAATACCAGCTTTTAGGATAAAGCTCTCCACAGCAGCCACCAAAATCCATCTGCTGCAGATGCCTCCTCAAGGAACACCACCAGCTGCTGTCAAGGCTCTGCTGTGCACATGGGCCAGGGTGATGGACACACCAACAGGCTGAAATGATGCTTTGGTGCTTCCCGTGGCACTGGACACACACACAGTGCAGAGAAAGCTCCCGTGAAGTCATGCACCAATGTTGGTAAGGTGAAATGTAAATGCTGTTTCCTTGTGACCAGTGCTGTGAGCCAGAGTCAGGGAGGAGGCACCCGTGGACGCCAAGATGTGGATGCACAGATGTGCCGAGCCAGCCATAGAGGCAGCGGGCAGGTTACCTGGGAAAATCGGGGCTAACGGAAGAGATCTGTCCCTGCAGGGAATCCATGATGTTGCTCTGTGAATAGAGCTGCAGGGGAGAATTGAACTGCACGTGCAGCACTTTGAGTCCTGGCACCTCCACTTCCACGGGGCTGTTGGGGCAGGCCTGGGCCACGTGCTTCAGCTGCTGGGGCCCTGCTCGAAGCTGCGCGGGGCTGGAGGCCCAGGGAGCCTGCACTGCGCTCGGTGGCAAGGGACGGCTACAGGGTCACACAGGGGTTTGGGGGTTCATTGGCATTTTATGTTGTGGAATTGAGGGAGAAATTCCAAGGAGGAAGAGAGGGAAGAAGGAAGAAATTAATGAAGGGCTAAACCGAATGCTCCAAGCAGTAAAAGCAGTTGCAGAATGCTGTCTGATCCTTGTGCTGGAGGGACACACCGCTGAACTTACAGCTTCACATTACAGGCTTCTGGCTAATGCTGTGGCTTTGGTCTCGCACTCCAGGTGTGGCCACACAAAAACTAAACTGCAGACACTCCACTGATTAGCAAATGTAGGGGTTGTAAAAGCAACAAAGACATGGCAGCAGGGGTTTCCCTATGAACTAGCTACCTGAGTTCACACTCAAGGTCCCACTGTCCAGTCAAGGAATGCCACCTCCACTGCTGCCCTTCCAAAAGTTAGCCTGGGCACTCTACTGAAGGGCAATCTCACCTCTGATCCCAAAATAGATGTGCTCAGCTGTGGAGCTTCTTCTTGCCCTCCCCACCTGCTTGTGACACCAAATCCAGTAGAGATACTTGCTGGTGTTTCTGTCTGTACCATAGCCCTGCATTTACATCACACAATCTTTAAGGAAGGACTATGGACCAGATCCCGGTGTCATGTCACCATATGCAGTGCAGGATCAGGCTGCTGATAAGTGCCAAGTAAACCAGAGCAATGTTGGCCACACATAAGTAACTCAGCAAAAAAAACACTGGCAGGAATTTGAAGGCAGCTGGGAGGTTGAGTGAAGGGAAAACCTACACATCCTGTGCTTGTGCACTGGGGAGATCACAGTGGGCTTTTAATGGCAGGGTGAGGCCCCTGGCTGTCCCTGAAAACCAGCAGCAATTCTTCTGCTTTTGGTGACTCTGTAAACAAATGTGTATTAGCATCAAAGGTGTCATCCACAGTGCCCCCAGCATTCCTTTGCAACTTGCTGTGTTTCAGCAAGGAAAAGATTAAAGAGATGTCATGTACCCCACATGCAGCAGAGCTGGCAATGGACCTTTCTGCTAGGAGGAGCACATTAAGCCACAGCACTAGAAGAAACTGACCTCTTTGCTGATTTTTTGCAAGGAAAAGGGATCACCTACACGTTTCCAGCCAAATATACCTGGCTTCCAGGGAGTGCTCTCACCTGGAGGGGACTCCAGACTAGACATGAGGTGGTACTGGACTGCCAAATGGTCCCATCAGTTTAATGCAAAGTCAGATTTCCCTTTGTTCTTGCCCTGCCTTTGCTCAGCCCCTGAATGAGGCTGCTGAGGTCTACCAGAAGCAAATAAGGAACAAACATCTGTCACCTCATCTGCCAGCTGCAGCACTGTAACTCTGCCTAGAAGGGCCCATGTGAAACCAGGGCTCTGGTTTCAGTCAGACTTATGTTAAACCACAGTCTCAAGTCTTTGTGTCCTGCAAAAGCAAATGCTGAAGTTACTTTTGTCTCCCCATTCACAAATAAGGAATTTAGCTGAGTATTACCTAAAGCATTGGTCTTGCAGCTTCTGCTGTAGAAGTGGTCAACGTTTTCCAGGCAGTTTGGTACTGCTATACAGTGACCTAGAGCAGCTAAGCAACTTCACCAACATAGCCAGAAAGATTTCAGAAAGCTCCTAGTCTGTTGCTTCTAATTAAAAAAATATGAACTTTGGACTTCTGCAATAAAGTACTGTCTTTGGTGCAGTAAGATAAAACCACAAGAATCAACAGGCCTTTATAAGGTTGGGACCCTTTCCAATCCTATATATAAAATCCCTCATACACGTATCAAAGTTTCAGCTACTTTTTAAAACTTCTGTGAAAAACAAGGTTCAAAAATAAAAAATGAAAAGATGAAAACTTAGAGCCTGTCTCTGAATCCCAAGCCAGCCAGGAACGGGGACACGTGCTTCCTACACTAGCTGGTACCCATCCTTCCTGGCATTGCCCGCAAAGCCAGCACAAAACACTAAGTGTACACAGTGCTCATAACAAGCTGTCAAGCACCTGTTCAGGCCAGCGGGCTGGAATGTCATGCTGAACGCACATGGAAACTGCGTCGGTCTCTGCTAAACAAAGAAACACAACAGCATTAATTTCATTTCTGCATCTCATGAAATGTTGCCCGCTCCTCTGAGCCCTGCCCCTGGGAACCACATCCATGCTCATGCGTCTGCTCCTTCTCTTGTCCTGAAAAAAAAGCTTTTTGGGGTTAATGATTTGGTACCCTTGCAGAAAACTCATGTCTCCTGGAGCCTTCCCCTGGGGCCTGGGCAGGGAAGGAGAGGTGATGAAGATACTTACAGCTTGGTAGGCTCTGGGGCCCCAGGTGATGTCTTTGTCTCCACTGCGCTGTTGAAAGTTTGGATGTTCTCTGAGGAGTACAGGCCTGCTGGGCTGTTGTACTGAGCAGTGATCACTCTGGGGGCAGAAGCTGTGGCAGCAGTGAAGGGCACTGCGCTCCGGTTGTGTGCACTTCCTATGTGCCTTACTTCCTGCATGCAAAGGAGCAAAGGCAAAAATCAGAGGTGCTCAGGCATGCGGGTGGGATGTGACAGGGCAGCCTGGAGTGAGCAGCTACTGCAGTGGTGGTCTTTGCATGTGGTGCCAGCTGAGGAGCACATGACCACCAAGGAAGACAAGCATCCTTTATGTGTCAAGGCCCCCAGCCCCATCCTGGATGACTTCAGGCTGACCTTCAGGACATTTCACAGTTGATGCACTGGGAACATAAGAGCTCAGAAACACTGCTAGAGCTGTTAACTCAAGCTGACACACACCTGATTTTTTGCATTCCTTGCAATCCCTGAAAGTAGAGCTGATTTCTATGGAAAAGTGAAGATGAGGGCCAGAAAGAACAGCACTCTCCAATGACATCTGAAAGTCTGGCTTTAGGCAAACCAAAAGGAAGGGATCTGTTATTACTAAAAGTGCTCTGGAACATGTCTACTCCTTCAGCTAAGACTGAGGTTCACAGCTGTCTTTGATTAATAACGCTGGACTTTCTGGACAAGAAATTCATACAGTATTGGTGGGAAGATGATCGCTGTTACTACAGAAGATTGCTCACAGACAGTGACAGCTAAATGCCAGAGGCCTCTTTAGGGCCAGAAGTATGAGATATCAGCCAGGTGTTCTGGTTTTGAGGCAAACTGGAGACTTCCAGAGGTACTAGTAGATACTTGGAAACACTGGTTGCAATTTAATAAGAAAGGGGTCAAATCCAAGTTGAGTAAGACATGCGTTAAGAAAGACTCTTCTGAATCACAGACAGTACTAAAACAATGAGGACATTTCTAAGCTTCATCACCAGTTCAGCAAGCGAATTCACAGCCTTGGGCAGGGCTTATTTCCTCCCCAGAGGAAACAACTGACCAAAGCAAGGAGAAAGCACAACAGGGCCTCACTAAAGCATCTAGAAGAAAGGACTAACATTCACAGAGACAGCTTAAATATCCAGGAATAAAAGATGGTGCCTAAAATGTGCATTTTGGAATGCTTCAACAGCTGTAGAGATTGAGAATGACTCCATTACAGGACTAGCACCCAGTGGCACAGGATGAAACAGAGCCCTTCTTAACATGCTGGGCCCATGCTTCCCTATTCTAATTAACACAACCAGATCCCACTCCCACTCCATACAGGCACTGACTTCAGCAATGAAGGGAGCCTTCACTACCCTTTGAACACCTCATGGCATTTGTTTGATAGAGCTATAGTTACAGGATAAACACTAACTAGAAAGAAGAATGACTAAATTCCCCCACCATTTTTTTCTTTAAATTGCTTTTATGTCCCCCAGTTTCCCTAGGCAGCTAGCTAGCATTCCCAGACTGACAGATGGGAGTCATCTCACTTCATGGCACTCAAATGCTATTTATGGCATAAAGTACAGCATTGGATCCCTCAGAGAAGAGCAGCGTGCATCCAAACACACTCATGAGCTACAAGTCATTTGAAATCCATGGGGTAGCTCAAGATGTTCAGGTATGGCGCTGTTCTCCCACGGCTTTCTGGCCGATGTGTATGAACATCAGCCATGAAGCTTTCCCATACACCAAAGGAAGAAAGACCCTGGAGTAATTAGCTAATCTCCCTTTGTTGCAATCTCATTCAAAGCATATAATGTGTCTCATAAAAATAGTCTTTCCTATGGCATAAATGGTTGATTTTAGCAAAAAAAAATATAATTTCTTCAGCCTGTATATCACACCATGGGGAAAAGTATCTGTGATCTTATATCAGCCTTAAATACATGTTAGCCCACCATTAGGAGGCCACAAGTAGGAGAGGGTTCCAGACATGCACATAAATAGTTGGTTCAATGAAAGACAGAGGGAGAAGTTTTAGTTTAAAGGGGTTATATTCTTGGGTCAAATGGGCTTAAAGTTGAAATCATGTCACAACTTGTATTGCGGAAATGTTTAAGTTTTAACCAAGAATCAGTGAAAGGGAAGTAATTTAGTTTTGTTGTTGTTTTTTAATTCTGGTTCCCTAAGGAAGTAAAGTGTCTCAGTTACATACTCCACATATATGTGGGCACATTCCCACCCCCACCAAAGATTTTGGAATCTGTCAGCCAAGCCCAAATCACTTTGACAGTGCTGGAGGACTCCAGGATGTTGAAGTTCCTACAAATGTTGAGAAAATAGACAGCTAGTTGGAGGAGAGACCGAAATCACATTAGTGCCTTCACCCTAATAACTGCAACATGCACCTAGGCATGGAGTCCACATAGGAGACTTTTTACCTAGCTTTGGCCACCAGGTAGGGTTTCTGCTATATAGTAAGACCCCAGACCATAAATGAAGCTTTCAAAAGCATCAGAAGACCTGTAACCTGTTTTATCATGTGGATAAAGTCCACTGACTATACAGTAGTTTGTAATAGGGTTAAACAGAGATATAAGGGCAGAAGGTGATGTCTTTAGATTAGAAAAATCCCATCTGGGACAGTGTAGAAGGTGTGTAACCCAAGAGTCTACAGACAAGTATTACAAAGCAAAGTAACAACATTATAAAGGGCATTTGGATAATCCGGATCCTCCAGCACTTCCTATCACACTGTGCTACACTTTCTGCTTGAGCTGTGGAAGGAATTTGCTAAGAACAAGTGCTTTCATGATCCCAAGATCAAAAGATAATGTGTTCTTACTGTCAAATGTATTTACATTGGGATTTTCCAGAAGCGCCAATCCAGACCCTGTGCTGTGCAGCAGTTTTGTTAAAGCCTTAGCTCCTGGAATCATGTGTTTATGTGAGAGTCTCTGACTTAATACTGGAGGGCAGGGTGAAATCAGAAATGTGTGCCAGGGTGCTGTTTCTGAACTCAGAGAGGTCTCTTCTTGCTTTGCTTTCAAAATGAAGTAATTCCTCCAATAGTCCCTCCCTGCCTGAAACTACCACCTCTATATGAAACCTCAAAGTGGCTTTTGAGCACAATCCCCTGTGCTCCCAAGTCCTTCAGGCACTAGTGCAACACACTCCCCCTGCCAATCCTAAATAAAAAAATGAAGTCCCAAGGACAAACAAGGTTTGCAGGCCCCAGCTTTAGGTCAAATTCACCGGTTTCCTGCCAGATGTTTTTTGGGTGCCAGTTGTGAGTGGCAGCAGCGCTCTCTGAGGCAGCTGGGAACACTGCTGTGCACTGCAGGCCCTGCAATGCAGCCCTTCCAGATGGGTGCACCAAGGGTCTTCCCTCATCCCCCTGGACTTCCTGGCAGAGTGTCACCAGTTACAGTGCCAGGCTGCCGGGAAGGGGAAAATGTCCCTGCGCCAGGACAGGAAGCAGATCAGCATTTCCTACCACACCGGCTACAGGCTGCGTCATGGAGAATTATCTGGGAAAACAATGGCCCCTTCCTCCCTTTCGTCCAACTCATGCCAGGCCATGCTTGGTGACGCTGAAGGCCAGCCTGTGAAACCCCCACAGCTGCACCAGCTGTCACCTCCGTGCCTCGGGCTGGCCAGCAGCTGGTGGCGTGGGTAGCTGCTGTCTCTTTGCCATGCACCAGAGATGGATGGGCTGCCACCATGTGAGATGCTCATCCCAGAATCAGGACTTGGGACTCCAGGGCAATTCCCAGCTGTCAGCAAGGCAGACAGATGGACAGACAGCTTAAAACAAGCCACTTCCATCAGCTGAGTTGGGGCACAACCCAGGCACCAGGGTCATAAAGCCACTTGGATGCCTCCATGGCCCCATGTGCCCTTGGGGAGGTTAGGGATGGTCTGGGGTGAGGGTGGACTCTTGGGTCACATCTGCCAGACAGTGACATGGCCAAGTCATCCTGGCTGCACTGACCTCACAACCACCAGAAACAGCTGGAAGCTGGAAGCTTTTTGTACTTGCTAAATAAACTAAGCTGAGGGGTCAGGCACTCCTCTCCCTGAAGCGGGGCTTTCCTCTCCCCACAGCACTGCCTGGAGGCAGTGGCAGGGCTGGGGCCTCAGAGGTGCTGGCTACCACCCTACTGCCCCTGCACCTGCAGCACCCTTGCTCCCCTGCCAATGCCACCTCCTTGCAGCCCCAGAGGAAAAGCAGATCACATACAGACCAGCAGGGTGCTTAAAGCCACCAAAAACTAGTTTCAGGTCTGGAGTCATGTTTTAGAGACCAGCCAGCACAGTTATTTACTAAAGTTCCAACTCTTGGAATCAGGGGATCTTATGTTACAAATAAACAAATAAAGCACCCAGGCTCTGCAGTTGCAGGGTGAAGTGAAAGCCCCCACAGCCCTGCAGTGCCCTAAAGCAGCCAAGTGAGGCAGAAAAACCCACTACCCCATCAGGTCCCAGAAACATGGGATATTTTTGAGTCCTGAGTCAGAACGCAGTAGCCCAGGGCAGGCAATCCTGGAGCACACACCTCAAGAACCATGCCAAGAGGAAACAAGATTAAACATTTTTCAGTATGTTTACTCAGCTCTAAGAAAACAAGCCCCTGACCAAACCTCAGCATACGAGAGGAGGGGAAGGAGATTGGAGACCAGCAACCAGACCTCTCCAGTCCCATCCTTGCCCTTGGGAAGCTGCCCAGGATGCTCAGGCAATGTCCGTGCCCAGCCAGCTTGTGGAGGGGGAGGCTGCTTACACCAAACATGCAGCAGCAGCTCAGAAGAGGACATTCTCATGGCCAACTCTACCCTATGCTATGTTTCATCAGCTGAAATCACAAGTATTTAGAAGTGCCTTTACTTTCACCTCTCTTTCTGTTATTGTTTGAGGTTTTTCAGCTATGGAAAAATCTTTTGCAATGCTTTGAAATCTGATTAGAAATTAGGAAGGGTTTGGGGTTTTGTTATTGTAGGGGGCTAAAACCACAGGGCTTGCTTCCCACATCCCCTCCCTCCATGTCCCTGACACATTCCACAATCATGCGGTAACACCTTTAACCAAAAACAGCAGGTTGTGATATGCCAGTGCAGTTCCCTCATCTGAAATGAGATGCTGTTACTTTATATACCTATTGCTCCATGCATTGCCCACACATGCATGGCCTTATCAAAGGCCAAGCCAGCCACACACCCAGTTTCTATAGCCCCTGCCTTCTCCGTATCCAAGGAGATAAAATATACAAGACAGAAACAATGACATCACTCTCCAAGGACAACGAGGACACAGGAGGCACTCTCAAGAAGTTTGGGAAGACGGAAGTGGCTGTCTGTCATCCCAGAAATACTGTGATTCACCTCTGGAGCTCCTCCAGCTGCATGTCTAGAGGTTACTTCTCATTTAAAAGAAACAAAACACCCTCAGGCTTGAAAGCCCCTATCTTCCATGGCTACAAATAGCTGATCTATCAACCTCAAACCAAGAGTTTGCACTCACCTTCTTAAGGAGTGACATTAATACTGGTGCCTCACTGCAAATGGAGCATGTGGCCTTCAGGACAAGCTTTTATGGAGACAGTCCTGGTGTTGACTGCCCTCAAAACTCATTCTTCTCTCAGCTCATTCCTCACATGAGCTCTCTGCTCAGAGACCTAAGCCCCATTGACCTCTATGTCCTACAAATATATGGGGAAAAAAAAAAGAAAAACCTTCTCCCACAGAGCCCAGGTCTGACAAGACACAGAACAGTCTTGTCATATGCTTTAAAATTACCTTAGTCACAAAGTAACTTGTTCTCTCTTCCTGTGCTCACTTTTTTCAAGAAATGTTTAGCAGAAGGGAGAGGCAGACGTTATTTTAGTCTTTCCCACTGTGGTGAGGAAATGCTGTTGATGGGAAAATTACAGCAAGAGATAGCCCTCGGGAGCTGGGTGAGAAGTGCAAGTGAAATAATTGAGTAAATATATAAGAAGACTCTCTCATTTCCTTCCCTTAAAGTTGCCATGGTTACACCCAAAACAAAGCTGGTTCAGCCACTGAGCCATCACCACCTACAAGCTGCTGCACCTTTTGATTAAATGTGATTTTGTCATCACTCTTGCCTCAGTTTAAATTAACTTGGAGGGATAAAGATAATGGTAATGAAATAATAATAAGGCTGTAGCTCTTTCATGAACAAAGGTCAGCTTAGACAATGAAGTCAGCCTTGGGATTCAGGACTTCGGGGAATGCATGGGAGGGTGTGGAATGCCTTGAGACCTTACATTCCAAGTAAGGGAAAAGACTTCCACAGGACAACGCAGCATTTCACCAAGTATCAGCCTCTAAAAAGACTACAGAGGTAAACAAATAGTCTACTTAAAATAGGGTAAAGAAATTTGTAAGCAGTGATCTTAAAATATCTAGCTAGTCATACAGTTCTTGAAACAAACAAAATTAACTTATTTCACAAGATCTTTTGCAGATATCTAATTATTTAACTGCACTAATAAAATGGGAAGAGGAAAAGAAGATGGACAATCATTGTGAGAAATTTCAGCTAAAATACTGAAGGTAGGGGAGTCAACATCAACTTTATTCTAAGAAAGGTAGAAATTTATTTTAATAACTGCAGCCTGAAGCAAGTCTATTCACATATATGATTTTGTATATCTGCATTCAAAGGAATGTGAGCAAAATCACTGAGCAACATTGTCAGAGGACCCCAGATCAAGACTTAAACGAACCTTTTGGACTCAGCAGGTCCTGTTTTCTTTGGTAAGTGAATTAATAATACTGTTGCCAAGGAAAGCAGATCTTGTTTTCACTGGCAAGAAAAATTAAAAACCTGAAACAGCTCAGTGCTGTCTTTGAAGATTCAGCTCTACTCACTTCTACTAGTCCTGCTGGAAAAATGAGATCTGCATCTTTGTGGTAAAATTCCTAGCAGTTTGCCATGCTGGTGTGTATATATATCTGCACAGCCTCCTCTGCACTCTGCTGCTGCTGATTTGCAGCAGGCCTTGCTGAAGTCCTTGGTGATGCTGCAAAGACACAACCCCAGAGTGACTTGGCTGACACTTGCCACAGCTCTGGCAGGAGTAGGTGTGCTCTGCTGACTTCATTCTCTAAGCAGACAGTTCTGATCACAAATCTTACTTGCTGCAGTCAGCCACTGAAAAAGGAAATGGGTGTGTATTTAAAAAACAAAACCACCACCACCAAAAAAAAACAACCTTCAAAATTGATGGTACTCATGACACGTTTCTTTGGCACAGCAGACTAGGAAGCTCAGGCATTGTTAAGCAGTATGAGTAAATGGGAGCTTGTGGTCTGGAGACATGATACATCTTTCCTCATACTGCTGGATTCCTTTGACTATGTGGCAGGCAAAGCCCTTTAAAGGAAAGCCCTGTGCTCTGAACAACAAGCACCACTCACGTAGGCCACTGCAAAAGACTTAATTTGCTTCATTTTAGGGAAGGGAAGAAGAGAGTAAGACTTTTGTGAGAGCATGAATATTCCTTTTAAACCAGGAGATAACTCTTCTAGTATCAGCCATCACAAGGGGTCAAAGTCTAATTTTCAAGAAACAGTTGGTTCCTAGTGCAAGATTAAGATAAGAGTGACTGCTCAGAGATAGGTTTTGAAACAGGAATCTGTCCACTGTGAGTTTCTCACTGAATTCACTAAAGTCAGTTGCAGGTTGGTATGGACAAATTCAATTGTGACACACTCAGAAACTGGCAGCATTGCTATATCTACACAAAGCCAGAGTAAGAACCAGGATTAGGACTAAGGTTAGGGTTTAGGAGGTGATCTGCTCCACTGCCAGGATTACTGCTGAATACTGAACAGTCTCACCTTCATGATGCCCTTTACTTGAATTTTAGAAAGCAAGGCATGACTTGTAAGTTAAAGACTAGAGTAAAGGTTAGTCACTCTCACTCATGTTTCTTATGGAGCTGCAGTAGGCTCCCTGGAACAGTCCAGGGCTGACTCACATACATATAAACACTCCACCCAGAGCACACTAACGGAGAGCCATTGATTAGGGTTAAAACTGCCACAACAAATGAGTTTAAGAGGTGGCATCAGTTAGTTAAGGTAACCTATGTTTTGTACTTAACCAGCAGCTGATTATCCAGTGAACCAAACCAGCCTGGGGCAAAACATGGTGGAGGGGCAGCCAAGTCTTCTGCCCAGTTAAGCAATAGCCCTGAGCAGCCTTGCAGCAAAGACTCTGTGGAGACTCTGTCCCACTCCTCTAGCAAGAGATAGCTCCCAAGCTCAAGGTTTGCAGCAGAACAACTCCAGAGTTTGGGCAGCAGAAGACACAGACTAGATCTCAGCTCAGCAGTGTCACAGGCAGGTGTCACCACATGGCCCCAGCCCAGCCTAAGTCCAAACAGATCAGTCTCACATTGTGCCTTGGCTGAGTTCTGAAATACCTGGAGAATGCTGTACCATGCTCTCAAGCAAAGCAACACACAGCAGCTTGGCATGAGAGGGAGCATGGACAGGTGGCCAAGGTCTGGGCACCATATTGCTGCACATGCGCTATTCAAGTCCTTTCCAATCCAAACAGACATATTAGCACTCCATTAACTGCAGAGTCAAACTATATTTATCTCTACTTATTTTGCTAGAAAGACTCATACAGGATTTGTGCTAGGGCCAGAATCTATGTCACTGCCTCAATGAAAATCCAGAGAAATGCGATTGATTTTAGTGCAGTTATTGTAGATTTGTGCAATGTAATCCTCTAAACCTCCTAGCCCAGGCAATGCCCTTGCACAGGTCACAGTTCTTGCTACACTTACTTGACAGAGGCAGTGGCTGAAGCAAGGCTACCAAAAGGTTACAAAACCAACCTCCTAGACTGAGGCTGCAAGATCTGCCCCACAGATAAAAATATAAAAGGCTGGTGTGTTTCTGTTCCACTTTCTTCAGGACTGCTAGTATGAGGAAAAAACAAAACCACCACCAAAAAACCCCACAATAGAAAACACTAGGAGTGTAAATTTTTTCTCCCCTCTCAAGACCTTTCTTATCTATGAAAATCAACAGGCTTAGTAACAGTCGCAGTGATTTACTGAGCCACACCTCTGCAGTGCCTTCTGTGCCCTATGGCAGACGTGAGCACAGGAGATGCCTCTGATCCAAGCAACTTACCCTTGGCAAGGTATCAGACTAGCTCTCCACAGCAGCAGGCTTCTCACCACAAGGGAGGGAGTCTGCCTCTGAAGGCTTCCAAGGGACACATGATTTCTAGGAGGTATGGGGCAGGCACTATCCCCAGTGTAACCAGTGGGGTGACATGCTCAGCACCTTGGAGGATCAAGCCAGAAATTGCTCTGAAATCAGACAGGAGTAAGTGGAAACAAGATATGCAGATCCTGTATAACTTACCTGTGGCTGAGAGGCCAGATTCATCTTATAAGGATGTGTCTTCCCCTCTTCATTTACAAGCGGTGACCAGACTTTTGACTCAGTTCTGCAAGACACAAATTTTGATCAGTTAATCTGCTTTCATCAGTGAGCATTGTTACTGTTATTAAAAGTTAACCAATTTCCCAAACATTCCCCCAGTTTTTTGTACATAGCACTCTCCACATCAGGAGGAATCTAGAGTGCCTCATTTTAGGCATGTAACTTGGATGACTTAGTTATGTTGCATCAAGCCCTTGGAGAAAGACGGGATCTCAGCAGTGACTGTCTTGGCTTACCCTCTGGCACTCCACTGGCAACACATCAAGCATGACCTTCAACCTAGGCAGCCGAGTTGGGGGTCACCCAACAGCAGAAGCTGGAGATACTCCTTAGATGCATATCCTTTAATCAAGTGAGATAATTCAGATTACTGAACATGTTTCAGCTTTTATGGGTAGCCAGGAAGAGGAACGATTCTTGTCTATATTGACTAGACAGAGAACATTTTGTTCTTGAATTTAGGCTGCCTAGGATAAGCTAAATATATTTCCTTGTTTTAAGTCTTTGGAATGTTGTACTTATTTATACAGTGGTATCTATGCTGAACAAACAGAGGCTTTTGGGAATTATAAAAAGAAAAAAAGAAGGTCCAAGTTTGCAATGGGACTAAGAACTGAGATGATGTAATGTGTCAGAGAAGGTCTACATAAACTTCACTGGTCTGTGGTCTGACCCAATTACTCACAACATCCTGAAACACAAGTCAAGATGTGTGACCAAAAGCAACTGCTTTACCATCATCATCCTGGAGTTTTGCTCTGTCCAAAAGAACAACATACAAACAAGCGGTACAGAAGTATCGTGCTTAGATTTGTTTGACATACTTTATGGGAAATATACACTACCTACATTTCTCAGAAGTACAGAGAGTAGTTAGCATCTCAGATGGACTAAACAGTGCCACTTTTCCCAAACTTTTTCGTAGCAGGGTACAAATGTCTGCAGTATCACTGAACAGGAACCATTGTTCAGTGCTAAACACTGCATCACACCATGCAGCAATCAGATGACTGATAAACTCTTAGAATGAGTTTTGAAAACCATGTCCTGTTTTGACAGCAGTCCTTTGTGGAATCTGCAACTGCAGACAAATGTACTTCCCAGCTATTTGTGGGTTCATGGCCAGCTACAATTTCAGTATTTAGTTAGCAAAACAGGAATGCTTCCATTAACAATTAACTGGATGTGCCCTGCTACACTGGATAACTGGAAAGAGACTTCAAAAAGAAATAGCTTATAAAATTGAGGAATAAGATGTAGAACTACCCATGATAAATTCAATCTGGTCTATACTATTCCTCTAAAAGCCCTCCAGTATCAGGACATTTTTTTAAACAGCCCAAACTTAAATGTGATGCACATGTATATCCCAGACATTTGCTGCAGAAATATTATCTTAATACTTAAATCCAAGAGGGTTGCTCAGCAGGAGGAGACAGGAGACAGCATTCTCACTCAGGGAAGAGGAGAAGTTTTATTGACCTGCTACTGCCTCTATTGCACTCTGGACTTTACACAGAAGAAACCTGAACAAAGTCTGCTTTATTGTAACCCCTTTTGCAGGAAAGTACCAAGACACAGGTCATACCAGATATTGTCCTTTACAAGCATTCAGGTACAGCCAACCTTTGACTCCAGGCTATTGCATCCTGTGGGCTCAGCTCCAGTGCTGACACTTGACAACTTACATCATCCTGGCAACTTGCAAGCTGGGGCACATGCAAACTAACAAATATCAATGTAATGGTTGTGTGGGATCCAATCTATGCCACTCTCATCACTATCTCGTCTCAACAGCTGCTGTGACTGGATTTACAACACATCCTAAGGTGAGTATAAAACAACCATTCCCTCCTTGCTTCTGGCAACCTGTTTAAGGTGCCTAAGGAACCAACAGTTTTATCCAGATGATGGCTATGAAGCCTGACAAAGTCACAGCCATCTCTAGGGTGGCTGTATTTTGCATTTGAAGACTGTGTTTGCACAGACGGGAGCAGCATGTTGACCAATGCAAAGCCTTATTCCTTGAAAGTGTTTGGAGATCACGTGCAACCAAGTTTTACCTCCTCTGGAAAAACAGGGGACACAGCAAAGGTTATGGACATCAAATACCCTACTAGCCAGGCTGTAAGCAAGTGGATGTTGGCTGGAGATGAAAGAGCAGTTCAGACAGCACTGAACACTTCAGCTGATTTCTAGCATGAGGTATCCCTGTGCCAGTGCTGACTAGCAGTGATATCTAAGTACTTTCAAGGTATCATTTTCTTCTACAGCAGTGTAATATTCTCAGAGTTTAGAAGCACCAAAAGGGCTTATTCAGACTGAAAACTTAAGCTCAAAGCAGGACAATGTATGAATACAGAGCAGAAACGTCACCCAGGTAGTTGTTTTCATCCTACTGCCCCTCACTCAATGCATTTTAGGTGACACAGCACATTGATCTCCAGTGCACAGGAGGCAGCTATAGCCAACTACTGCAGCCAGTGGGGGTTTTTCTGACCAGATTTTTCTCCCTTATTTACCAGCAAGGCAAAAAACTCAAGTTTGTTTCCCAGCCTGCTGCCATTCTGATCTGTCATTGGATATAAATGGAAGCAGCAAGGTCTATCCAGGCTTTACTTCCAATCCATTTTAAAGTTATCCAAACAGAAAGGTTAAATAGCTGGCATGGTTGTCCCTCTAAGGCTGGGAGGATAAAGCTTCCCTTTGTCTTCACAACAGCTGCAGCAGAGCCCTTCAGCCACTCTCAACAGCCCATTTATGGCTCCAGCAAAGCCACAAAAAGGAGACAGCTTTGCTTTCACAGGCTTTGCCTGTGTTCCATCCCAGATTACTGCCCGTGGAGCCCACAGTCCAAGGGTCATCGGTAAAACTGTTATAATCCCAGCTCTCAGCAAGGGTTTCCTGGCCCTGCTCCTGATGTCAATGCCTGCACTTTTACTGACATGTGGCAGGAGAAAGGAAAATAGCACCTGAAAGTTCACCACATGTCCCATTGCTGGCCCAGGATCTATTTTCTGGAAGACTGGAAAATGTGGACACAAGGCACAGACAGTAGGACAGATTCATTAGACTCATCATGTTTGTATCTTATCTGTATGTTTTCACATCTAATTTATATGAAGAAGGGAACAGGCATCAGAGGAGATAGTTCAAACCTAGGCTTGGCAACAGTTCACAGCAGGGTGCTACAAGTAGCCCTGTAGTGGATTTCTGGAGGATTTTCTCCAAATCTGGGGGAGAAGATGCTCCACACTCCCCTTGGCGAAGCTGCACCCCTGTCACTGAGTGTGGCCCTGCTAGCAGGGCTGCCAGTCCTGCCTCTCCACTGGTGACAGGGCTGGATGTCCAACAGTGTGGTGGGCAATCCCACCCTGTCTTTGGTGAAAGCCAGCAGGCTTTGGCAACCCCATAAGATCTCACAGACTCTGGCTTAAATTGATGGATATTTATTTTATAATACAGTTTCTAATACTTATTCTTTCAACTGAGAGTCCAGCAGAAAGCAACACTCAGTACAGAAACAGACAACAGAAACATGACTCAAACAATTAGGAACTAATGCCAAGGAAATTAATTTCAGGCAGGTGGATACACAAACTTCAACATGTTTGCAGTTTAAATTTCTATGCTGTTTCCTCAATACAGGAGAGAGAGCAACCAAGACAGGGCCAGGGAATGAGCCATGAGTTTCATCCCAACAGAAACCAAGACCCAAGAACAGAAAGAAATTTCTCTGATGCTAGTTTGGATGGGGAGGTACTAACTGGAAGGAAAGGAAGTAAACCACATGCAAGTTAAGGCAGGAATCTGGAGAGGTATTTGTGAAATACAACATCTTTCAAGAGGTTTGGCTTGAACATTGAGCAATATAAACATTACAAGAGTCTAGATTTTGCTATCAATGCTTTGCATGCAGAGCCAGGCCCTAGCTTCAAGGGAAAATCCAGAGCTGGAAAATGAGGGTCTAAATCTGTGTGCCAAGAACTGCGTGAGTAAGTTCCATAAAGGAGAAAGATACATTTACATCTCAGTGGGATTGACATGACTAAGATAGCAAAGTATCTAATAAACCCATAAATATTGAAGAGTTCCTTGAGCAACACAGAGCCTGCTAGCTGAAAAATGAGGAAAGACTTAAAGAATTCCTCTTTTAATCCTCCCCAGAGTTTTAGATGGTATTTTAATAATGTTTAGAAACTAACTACAAGAGCTCTCAAGCTACCAGGAAGGTACCTTTTAATCAGTTGTTTAGTTACAACAGCTGCAAAGTACATGCCCTTGGATTTAAACCCGAGCACTCACTTTTAGCATCAATGGACATAATCACTTTGGTGAGGAAAGCTGTACCCAGGCTGCATGTACCTATTGCCAATTCAAACAGCAACGCTAGTCAGAACCTTCTAGAGACAAGAGCCCCCAAATTTATTCCTTCTTGCATAGCCCTCTGTTCCTTGGCATTTCAGACGTCTCTTCACGTAACCACTAAAAGCAAAAGGTCAACAACTCTGGTTACACAGAAGAAGCAACAGTTTCTCACAAGCTGTTTCATTACAAGAGCTACAAGAAATAAAACCCACCTGCTCCGACTCATATTGTTCTTCCACTAGCCAGATACAAAGTTTAGCCTTGCCATAGAGGCTGTAAAAACACAACAAATGCCAAGCTTGACTTGCCAGAATGACTTTGAACATACCAATCATTAGAAAAGGTGCTGGGAGCACCACACCAGCCATGGAGAGGCTGGGAGCTGCTGCGGAAGGCCAGGCCATCTGCGTGTCCTTGTATAGCTGCACGCAGAGCATCAGCCTTTTCCCGGGGCCAAAGCAATTATTAGTAAGATGACAGAGCTGGAAAACTCTTCTTGGCAAGGAAGCAAAAAGCAAACCTAAATGAGTCAACGGATTCCACCAATTTCCTAGAACACAAATCCAAGCCTATTGTGGTTTTGCACAACTAGTCCCCACAGCTGAGACCTGGGAACATGAGGAACAAGCAAGAGTG